TGGCGCTCAGTTGTGGCTGCATCGTCTTGGTGCCGGAGCTGAGCAAAGAGCTGCCTATACACCCCAAACAACACTCTGCTGCTGCTGCTGCTGCTGCTGCTGCAGCTCCTGCTGGAGGTGCTGTTGCTTCTGATACTGCTGCTGCTGCAGCAGCAGCACCAGCAACAACTGCAACAGCAGCAGCACCTGCAGCAGCAGCAGCAGCAGCAGCAGCAGGTATGTCTGTGGATCCGTTGCTGCTTCGTTGCGCCTTATGGCTGTCCCTAAAGGAGAGGGTCACCGCTCTGGGGGTTGTGGGGATTGATGAGGGGGCAGCAGAGGCCCTACACTTTGCTGCTGCTGCTGCTGCTGCTGCTTCTTCTGCTGCTGCTGCTGATCAGCGGTTGCAGAGGGATTCAGTGCAGCAGCAGCAGCAGCAGCAGCAGCAAACAGCAGCAGGGTTTCCGTTCTCCCCCCGTCTTTCAGGTGTACGTACACCTCAGTTCTCTCCTTCTCTGCCTTTCTCTCTGCTGCCTCGTGTTGACGTTCTTGCTGCTCTCTTTCCTCCTCCCCTCGACCTACAAACCCTAGCAGCAACCCTCACAGCCCCAACCCTCGTCTTCTTTGACGCAAATACAAACCACAACACACCAAACCCTCAGCAAACCCACAAGGGGCCCCCTGGGGGGCCCCCGCAGGGGGGCCCTCAGGGGGCCCCACAGGGGCCCCCAAACAGCTCGTCTCCGAGGGGCCCCCCTGAGGGGGCCCCCCCTACAGGGCGCCGTGAGGGGCCCCTTGGGGGGCCCCCGGGGGGGCCCCCCAGGGGGCCCCCCGCTGGGGGCCCCCCTGTGTGTGAAGATGCGGTGGCGTTTGATTTGGCTTTGCGTCGTGTTGGGCTGATGAAGGACCAATGGGTGTATACAGCTGAGAGGCCCCCTTTATGTTCTCTGGGGTTTGCTGATGAGATGGTGAGAGGGTTGCTGCTGCTGCTGCTGCTGCTGCTGCTGCTGCTGATGCTGCTGGTGTTGATGTTGATGCTCTTGATGGTGCTGTTGTTGCTGCTGCTGCTGATGCTGTTGCTGCTGCTGCTGCTGCTGTTGCTGCTGCTGTAAGCGGTTCATTGTTTTGATGCTGTGGGGGCGAGTGCTGCTGCAGGGTTTAGGCTTTAGGGTTTAGTGGGGTTTATTAGGGTTTGTTGTTTGTTGTTTATTTTTTCGGTGTTTAGGGTTTTTGTTTATCATTTACTGTTTTTCTTTTATCATAATTATTTATTTTTGTTTTTTGTTTTTTGTTGTTTATTATATTTTATTTATTATTTTTTATTTATTGTATATTTCTGTTGAATTGGTTCTTGTTTATGATTGTGTTTTATTTATTCTTTTTTCTATATAATATATTTTATTTATTTATTTACTGTTTATAGCATTTACTATAATTAATTTTTGTGTGTTATAAACAAATTATTATATATTTATTTTGTATATTATACACTACATATTAACTTTTTCTGTTTATAAAATATTAAATATGAATTATAAATTATATTTTAATTATATTTTATTTTTCTTTTTGCTGCAGCTTACATCGCAGCAGCTGCTGATGGTATCCTGCTGGATAGATTTGTGGTTGGGGCGGCAGATACCCGATCGGCTGCACGCAGAAGCAGATGTCAGTGGATTTGCTCTGCGATTCAAAGACTTCAAGCGTCAGTGAACTGCAGCAGCAGCAGCAGCTGCTGCTGCTGCTGCTGCAGCAACAACAAGAGCAGCGGCAGCTGCGGCAGTAGCAGCAGCAAGAGCAGCAGCAGCAAGAGCAGCAGCAGCAGCAAGAGCAACAGCAGCAAGAGCAGCAGCAAGAGTAGCGGCAGCAGCGGCAGTAGCGGCAGTGGCAGCAACAGCAGGAACAGCAGCAGCTGCTGCTGATCCAATAGCCTCAAGGCATTTACGTGAAAGGGCTGGGGTTTAGGGTCTAGGGTTTAGGGTTTAGGGTTTAGGGTTTAGGGCTGGAGATGATTCGGCCTGTGTTTGTATCGCTTTCTTAGCTCTGGGGGGCCCATCGTCATTCTTTTATAGACGCATGAGAACAGCGTCTCAGAAAACCGAAAAATAAATAAAATAAAATAAATAAATAAATAAAATAAAATAAATAAATAAATAAAATTAAATAAATAAATAAATAAAATTAAATATGTTAGTTGACGGTCACGAGGATTCCCTCGTGGTTTGCGGTGTATGCGCAGGTTACTTGAATTTTCTACTGAAACGACGAAAGTGCACTGAACCGAAAAAAATAAAATAAATGATTTATTTTTATAAAATTTAATTAATTTTAATTAAACTTAATTAAATTTAATTAAATTTAATTAATTTGGGTGATAAAAACCGCAAACAGAAGCCCATTGCTTGTCCTTTGGTTTTGTTTCCTCTTCATTTATAACCATCGCCTCTACCCTCTCCCACTCTCTGCTTGGTTTATACAAGAATACATTATTATTTTTTATATAATAAAAATTTAATTTATTATAATTATATATAGAATGCAAGTCTAATGCATTCGTGTTGCTGTATATACGACACCTGCTGAGTGTGTTGCTGCTGCATACAGGAGCAGCGAATTTGTTTATTTTTTTATTTGTATTTGATAGAGGAGGAAAGGCAGCAGAAATAAAACTAGAAAATGAAAACTTGCTGCTGCTGCTGTTGCTGTTGCTGCTGCTGCTGCTGCTGCTGCTGCTGTTGCTGCTGCTGCTGCTGCACTGAGAGGGGATTGCATAGGCGTCAGGAGAGTAGTAGTAGTAATGATGATGCTGATGGGGGGTCTCTCTGTGTTTATATTCTCTTTTTATTTCTGTTTTTGTTTGTCTCTGCCCCTCATCGTCAGCAGCAGCAGAACAACATGAAGACGGAGAAACATCTCCCTCTGCATCGACAGAAAGAAAAACGCTTTTCTTCTTTTCTTTCTTTTTCTTGTTTTTGTTGCTATTTTTTGTGTTGCTAGCGGTGCTGTTGCTCTTGTCTTTGTTGTTTTGTTGCTGCTGCTGCACCTTCCTGCTGCTGCTGCTGCTGCTGCTGCTGCTGCTGGGTGTACGTACACCTGGAAAAGGCCAGAATCCTGTATCTTTAATGCAGCTATCCGAGGGGGAGAAAGAAGAAGAAAAAGAAGAAAAAGAAAAAGAAGAAAAAGAAGAAAAAGAAGAAAGAGGAAATGCAGAATGAATTGTATTTTCTGTATTTATAAAATAATGAAATCCTTTTGGATAAACCGGCGGGAGGAACGCGCTCTCTCTCTTTCTCTTTTTTTCTTTTTCTTCTTTTTCTATTTCTTCTTCTTCTGTTTTTTTATTTCTTCTTTGCTTGTCTGCTCCGTCTAGTATGCTGCAGCCACTGCAGGGGATATTGGCTGTTAAAGGGGAGCACCGATTTCTGCTGCTGCTGCTGCTGCTGCTGCTGCTGCTGCAGCTGCGAGCAGCTGCAACAACAGGTAAACCCTGTTGCATCTCTTCTTCCTCTCCTTCTTCGTCTTCTTCTTCTTCATCTTCTTCTTTTTCTTCTTTTTCTTTTTCTTCTTTTTCTCTCTTTTCTTGTTCTGTTTTACTTTTGTATTGCCATACAAAAGGCCGAGGCTGCCAGCAGTCTTCGTTTGCTTCAGCTGGTGACAAGTACACAGTTGGAGAGAGACCTGAATCTGAATCTGCTGCTGCTGCTGCTGTTGCTGCTGCTGCTGTTTCTGCTGCTGTTGCTGCTGCTGCGG